GGCATTTAACAACTCATTAAAAAGTCTGTTTAGTTATCACATACGATCTCTGTCAAACCTAAACCACTTTGGGGTTTACTTTGTTTTTTTGGGGGGGTACTATTTCACTTTGTAAACCTTTACTATCTATTCATTGTCTTAACCAATATTAACATCAGTATCTATTATTTCCTATACAAAAGAGTTGATCCAAATCCCTTTTAGGCATATTCACTGATTCTCATGATTTTCAGTTCTGTCTTTGTGTGTGTGGCACTGTAGGACTATCACTGGACTTAGAACCACAAGGTCGGCAGTTCAAACCCACCAGCTGCTTTTGGGAAACTCTATACAGGATATCTATGAGTCGAAACTGACTGGACAGCACTTAACAACAACTATTGTTGATGTTGGACTCTTGGTGTAGGATAAGCAATGGAACACAAGTTTGTTTGAAATGCAAAGTCAGCAGTTCAAACTCACCAGCCATTCCTTGGAAACCCTATACAGGGTTGCTGTGAGTTGGAACTGACCCAACAGCACTTAACAACAACAATCTTTGATGTTATTCTAAAACCTGCGTGCTTTCTATTCTGAAAGTGCTTATGATATGTTGTTGATTGTTGTTGTTAAGTTAATTGACCAGACAGAACAACGACCTAATATTTATCTAACAGCTTTGGGATGTTCAAACCCTGCACATTTCCAAAGGAGCTGGCCCTTTATTTGGTGTCTGGGAGGTAACCTCTAAATCACTGGTATCTCCTACCTTTCTATACTTGAGGCTTTGGGCTATGCCAGATGATTTATGCTAACAATGTGATTTACGCTGGAAGCTTTGAACCACTACGTGTCTGTGATGTGACCTCTGGAGCCAGAATAACTGAAGTCAGTCATATGAAAATTCTATGTCTATAGAGGGTTCCTGGTGTGACATGGTGGTATAAGCACTGGACTGCAAATCATAAGTCAGCAGTTCAAACCTACCAGCTACTCCTCGGAAACTCTATATTGTTGTTAAGTGCTGTCTAGTCAATTCTGACTCACTGCAACGCTGTATAGGGTTTTATAAGGAATGACTGCTAAGTTTGAACCACCAACTGTGCCGTTCAAAGTGATCTTTCGGTTGAGTGTTTATCCCATAGTGCCACATCAGGACTCCATACTGGGTGGCTATGAGTTGGAACAAACTTGAAGGCACTTAACAACAACATGCCTACAGAACTGACTCCCTAAAATCCATGGGGACCAAAGCTTGGGTGAGTGCCCCTGGTTGGCAACACTTTGTATCTTTGTCACACACAATTACTGGGAGAATTAAGCACTGTCCATAAAAATCCACTGGGAAAGGACAACTGGAAGTTGGTGCCTGGTATCTCCTAGAGTCTGACCTATTTGCCTTTTACCTTCTAGCAAATCACAGAACCTTAGGGAGGTCTTCAGGACCCCTGATACAGCACTACATTTGATTTTCAATGGAACGGGACTTATTATAGTAAAGCTTACTATTTAAATAAATAAATAGCATTACAGGAGTTCTGGTGTTGCACTGTAGGATAAGCACTGGACTATTACTACAAGGTTGTTGGTATAAACCCACCAGTCACTCCTTGAAAACCCTACATAGGGTCACTACATAGGGTCAACCTACTGTGAGTCAAAACGAACTCGATGGCACATGGCAACAACAGCCAATAAAGCTTTTTTTTTTTTAATTCCTTTGGAACTGAAGAACTCTATTTTCAATGGCAAAATACCATACAGGTTGTAACAACTTCAAGCATATTTAACATGACCCAAGTAAAATATAATTTGCTTTTAGAGCATTAGGCAAAGAGTGAAAATGAGATGAACAATGAATCTTTTATCAAACCAAATAAAAAATGATAAGCTAAACTTTTCTCTCCCTTAGATATACTTCTTTAATAGCGTTTGGGTCAATATGAGAAATAAAGTTCACAATTATGTCTTGATTCCTCAAATCTGCACTCAGATGTGATTCTCTTATCTCTAAACTATAAATATAGTCCTTTATTCCATTTGGTTGACGTATGGCTGTGTGTTGTGGAGTCAGTTCCGACTCATAGCGACCCTGTACAGGGCTTCCGAGGCTGTAAATCTTTATGAGAGCAGAAAGCCTCATCTTTCTCCTGTAGAACAGCTGGTAGTTTCAAACTGCCAACCTTGCAGTTCACAGCCTGATTTGTAACCACTACGCTACCAGACCTCCTTGGTTACAAACTATGTTGTTGTTGTTTATCTTTGTTAAGTGCCTTTGAGTCAGTTCCGCCTCACGGCGATCCTGTATAGGGTTTTCCAGGAGCAACTGGTGAATTTGAACCACTGACCTGTGATTCAAACCAACCTTGTGCTCCATTGCATCTCTCAGCACCATGCCAGGTCTACATACAAACTATACAGTATTCTAATTTGTTCATATAGCTTTCGTATCTACATTGTTCTAGGCAAAGAAAGCCCCTACACTCAAGTATTACTAAACACAGAAATCATTTCCATATTAAGAGAAATATGGTAATAGGATACACATGTGTAAAATGAAAGATATTGCTTTAATTTGGGTAGTGAAATTAGGCCTTTCTAAGGAAGTAGTTCATCTGAGTTGACACCTAGTAACCATACCATAGGATAAGCACTGGATCTCAAGGTTGGTTTGAACCGCAAGGTCGGTGGTTCACACTTACCAGCTGCTCCTCAGAAACCCTAAGCAGGGTCGCTATGAGTCAGAACAGACACAATAACAACCATGCAAAGATTTATCAAAAAACAAAGAAGGAAAGGCACATGCAAAAACTCTTGAGACTGAGATAAGCTTGATCTGTTTAGGAAATAAAATGAAGGCCAGTATTGTTTAATGTAGTAAACAAGGAGGAGAGAGAGTAAAAGGAACAAAGATTAAATGGTCAGGGGAGGCCAGGATAGCCAAACTTCATCTCTCATACTTTGGACATATTGTCAGGAGGGACCAGTCACTGGAGAAGGATATCATGTTTGGTAAGATGGAGGGTCAGCGAAGAAAAGGAAGATCCCCAATGAGATGGATTGGCCAGGTGGCAGCATCGATGGACTCAAGCGTGGTAACAATAGTGAGGTTGGCCCAGGATCAGGCACTGTTTCATTCTGCTGTACAAAAGGTACTGACTCGATGTCACCTAACAACAGCAACAATCAGTCAAGGTAGAGAATTCAGATATTATTCGGCTTCAGTTGTCAACACTGGAAAGTTTTAAGCCAGAAATGGCTGTAAGTGCATTTTGTTGATTTTTAAAAAATTTTTTTGCTACTTTTTGAATGATAAACTATAATGAGGCAAAAACAGACTCAGACAGACCAAACGGAAGAATACGTCAACAGTCAAGACAAGATAATACCTTATATAATGCTGTATTGAAAAAATGGACATGGTGACAAACTGGAATGGAATGTAATGACAGACTGTGAACCCACGGCAACTGGGTCGACACCGGTGTGATACACTGTGCTGGGGATGGTATGTATGCTTGTGTGTGTGTTGGCGGGAAACAGACTTGGGAACAAAAACCAATAGTAGTATTTTCAACCTATATTATGAGACTGCCTATTAGCTATATAAGTGGAAAATGTGAATAAGCAATTAGAGGCATGAGGTAAGCTCAGGAGCAAGGACTGGGCTGGAGTTAAAATTTGAGCATTTTCAAGTATAGAGAGTTAAAGTCATGGCACAGAAGGAGTTATCTGTGCAAAGCATTCGGTATCCAAAAGAGAGAGCTCAAGACTGAGCTGCGGAGCACCTGGATACTACAGGCTTGACAGAATAAAGACAGCTGAGAAGCAATGAGCAGTGAGTAGCAAGGGAAGTCAGGCAAATGTGGTGGCACTGAGGCTCAGAGATGAATGTAGCTCTAGCATTATGTTGTTGAAAAGTTAAGTAAGATGAGGACAGAGATGACGTAGCTCCCTGTTGACCTTGAAAAGGTCTTTATGTGGAGTTTATTACAGCTCTCATAATCATAGATCCATTTCAAGTTTCAAATACGTGTTATGTGCCAAATAATGTTACATATAATTCTAGCACTGTTGTTTTTTTTTTTCATTGAACGTGTATGTGTGTGCTTATGTAGAGGCTTATATCAATGATGGATTGAAAAAAAAACAAACAAAAACTAACTGTATAAAACTTAATTGTCCTCTCCAAATATGCATTCAAAATTGACAAAATTCTTTTAAACTAATAGCTAAAGTCACAGACAACTACTTACTCCATTTCTGCAACTCAAATATTTCAAGGAATGTGTAAGAGAAGCTGATGTCAAAAGATCTATTTCAACAACTGAACTTGCACTGTATGTGTTTTTGAATGAGTATAAATAAATCCTCATTTATCATTTTCTGCTGAGTTCACACCTATTTAGGGCTAAAAATTACATTTCCAACAAGACTCTAGTTCATCACCGCTTAAGAGTAACTTCCCAATTGTTTGGAAAACCCTTCAACATTTTTTCTAACATTCTATGGCTGGGTAGGAATTTTTGAGAAAAAAGAGAAATATGACAAGTGATCACTTTTAGGACCTTACGTTCAAGAACAGGTAACCCACAGAAGAAGAAAAAGAGCTTGAAAGGGAAAGATAGTGGTGACATAAAGTTGTTTGAGAAATGAAATCAAGTATTAAAAATAGAATTACATTTTCTAGTTGGCAATACACAAACAACACTAAGTGCACTTCATAAATTTTACTATTGTTGCTCTAAGTGATATTACCATAAATCACATTAGTAGTGTACTTGGCTTTTTTTAAAAGCAAAAAGGATGGAGAATGTCAATAAGTTTAAACAGCTCTGTTATCTTTGAAGAGAGTGGAAGACAAACTCTCACAGGCTTTTACCATGTCTAAAAGCCCAGTTCTAATGCCCCCATCTTTGCTATCCCTTTCCCTTTAGCTTCAGCATAACATACAGCATCATTTAGCTAGCAATATATGAGAAGACTATTCAATGTTGTTTTCTCAATTGTTTTTCTTTTACCTGATGTGCAAGAGGAGATAGCTGTTTGCCCCTTTTTTCATCTCGGACAGGAAAAAGAGACTTAAGCAGCTTTGGCATCTGTGGCACAAAGGATTTTACTGGATTCAAGAAGGAGACTGCTAAGTTACTAAATCCTGTCAAAATATTAAAAAAAAAAAAAAAAAAAAATTACTTAAATATTCTCTTTTCTGTATGTCTTCCAAGTACCATTTGTAAGCAAGTCTATCAATACAAATAAAAAGGTATAAAAAATTTTAATATTGGATAACAGTATTATTGCATTTCCCTTCAAGCACAATGATGTTTTCTTTTCTAACCAGAAAGTATTAACTGTGAAACTTCTAAAATGTGCTAATATTCAGGGTTCCTACTGGTATTCAAGGGCTAAAGCATTCTCAGTTCTTGATACTAACTGGAACAAGTACTAACTTCTGCCCTAGAGTAAAAGGGGATTGTAATTTTTAAGTCACATAGCTGATATCACACTTACGTAGTTCTCCTTCTAGATTTTAAATTCTTTGAAGTCAGGGGCTATGGCTTATTCAATTCTAGGTGTTTTTTTGACCATTTATGAACATTAGAATACTGAATGTTTTAAAATCAGGAAAGGTGTGCATCAGGATTGTATTTTTTCACCGTATTTATTTAATCTGTATGCTTAGCAAATAATCTGAGAAGTTAGACTACATGAAAAAGAACATAACATCAAGATTTGAGGACGACGCATTAACAATCTGCAATATACACATGCCTCAATGTTGCATACCTAAAATGAAGAGGACTTGAAGCACTTACTGATGATTAAACACTGTAGACTTCAATATGGATTACATTTCAATGTAAAGAAAACAAAAATCCTTACAACTGAACTAATAAATTACATGATAAAGAGAGAAAAGACCATGGTATTTTCAATCACCTCATATGCATGTGAAAACAAGGAAGACAAAGAATTGATGCCTTCGAATTACAGTGTTAGCTAAAAATATCATGGGCAGCCAGAAGAATAAACCAATCTGTCTTAGAAATGCAGGTGGCTCCTTACAAGGGAGGATGGTAACATTTCATCTCATGTACTTTGGACATGTGATCAGAAAGAACAAGTCCCTGGAGAAGGATATCATGCTTGATAAAGTAGAGAGCCAGGGAAAAAGAGTCAGAACCAACTTAATGGTACCTAACAATAGCAATTTAATAGATAAAGATATTACTCATCTTTCAGAATGAGGGTGCTGTTTTTGAGTTTTTACAAGAAAGGGTTAGCTGCCCTGAACCAACTATGCTCTTAAAATCTAATGGCACTGAGTCTATTTCAATTCATAGTGGACACTGAGACAGAGTACAAATGCCCAAAGGGATTCGGGTTTCCAAGGCAGTAATGGAACTACTTATGGAAGTAGACTAGCGTATCTTTCACCTATGGAACAGTTTGAAGGATAGAACTTGTAAACCTTGGGTTACCAGGGTGCACTATATTCTTACCTAATCTTAAGAGGTGAATACAATGCCTATAATATAATGGGATTTCTCTCATTGTCTGGAATAAATTACTCAATAGAAAAACTTAATCCAACACCAAAATCATGAAACACTGTACATTCCCATAACACTTTAAGAAGATCAAAAAAGTTGATTTACTGAACATAAGTAAACAGTCACCTACTCACCCCTACTCCATCCTCATCCCTGAAAGAACTGCAAATGTATTAGCTATATAGTCACTTAAGTCTACATTGTTTCCACATTGTCAAAGAAATGAGCTATAGCAATTCTTAGATTTCTAGTTCTAATATATCCAATCCAGTTTCCACAGGACATGATATAAGGAACAGAAAGAGCCCAGGCTGAGGAGGTCTGATCATTATGCAAGGACTTCAAAAAGTTGTGGAAAAATAGATTTAAAAGATAATGAAGGAAAGTGATATGTGAAACACTGAAATAAGACCTTACCTCACGCCATATACAAAAAGATCTCAGCATGGATTAAAGGTGAATCCCAGAATTATAAAGGCCATTAATGAAAACACTGGGAAAAATTTGAGGGCTCTAATGTAGGGCACCACCACTCGTCTGTCAGTTTGTCATACTGTGGTGGCTTGTGAGTTGCTGTGATTCTGAAAGCTATGCCACCGGTATTTTAAATACCAGCAGGGTGACCCATGGTGGACAGGTTTCAGATGAGCTTCCAGAAGAAGACAGACTAGGAAGAAACAGTGACATACTAGTTCCAAATATTTAGTCACTGAAAACCTTATGAATAGCAGAGAAATGCTGTCAGATATACTGTCAGAAAATGAGCCCCTCAGGTTAAAAGGCACTCAAAATGCGACTGTGGAAGAGCTGGCTCCTCAAAGTAGAGATAACCGTGATGACATGAATGGAGTAAAGCCTGTTGGAGAAAAGCCCATAGGACCTTCATTTGCTGATGGGGCACAACTCAAAATGAAGAGAAACGGCTGTAAACATACATTTAAAATTGGAACATGGAATGTACGAAGTATGAATCTGGGAAAATTGGAAGTTGTCAAAAATGAAATGGAATGCATAAACATTAAACATCGATATCTTAGGCATTAATGAGCTGAAATAGACTGGTATTGGCAATTTTGAATCTGACAACCACATAGTTTACTATGTGGGGAATGACAAATGGAAGAGGAATGGTGCTGCATTCATTGTTAAAAAGAACATATCCAGATCAGTCATGAGGTACAACGGTGTTTGTGATAGATATTCATAATTGAACATGTACATAAAATGTTGCAACAAAATATTAGCAAATGGAATAAAGTAACAAAGAATCATGCATCATTTTAAAATGATATCAAGTAGTGTTTATTACAGTAATGCAAGATAAGTTCAAGATTCTAAATGAATGTCTTTCAACATGCTAATTAACACAATAAAAAAGGAAAGTTCAGATGGCATTAATGAGTAGAATAGTGGTTGCCTGGCAGGAAATCCTGATTTAAACAATTTCTGAAATATGCTAAAACTCAGGAGTGACTGACAGATGAAAACATAACCTACCTGGATCAGGAGAATGATTATTTTGAGGACAACCAGAAAGTGATGTGGAGCCTGGAGCTACTCCTCTGGAAAGCACCGTTTGGGATACATCCTGTTGACTTTCCCAGCGACCCTATAAAGAACAAAACCAGAAATTTTGTTTTAAATTAATCAATTAACAAAAGATCCTGTTTTATTATCTTGTTTTTAAAAAAAGCTATTTTAAGAAAAAACTGCAAGACATGTTAACTTTGAATACTTCAGTATTTTCCTTGATTACAATATTAACTTCCCTAATAAAATACCTTACAGTTGGATGTGCCCTGTAGTTTACAATGTACAATTTCATAAATTCCATTCTAAGAATCTTATGTTGTTTTTAAGTGCCGCTGAGTCAGTTCCGACTCATAGGGACCCTGTATGGTGTTTAGAAAACTGTAAATCTTCGAGGGAGTAGCAAGCCTCATCTTTCTCCCAAGGAAGAGCTGGTGGACTTGAACTGTGGACCTTGTGGTTAGAAGTCCAGTGCTTATTGTATGAAGCCTCTCCACAAAACATAGACATAGCAGAACATTGCTTTTGATTCATCCTTACAGTCTTTTCAGGCTGTTTCTGCCCTTTCTATTCAGATATTTGGCTTCTGAGCAGAAACCCAGGTTAAACTCTCTTGTTCTGTGATATCCTCTCTCTCTCCATTTCAGAAGTGCATGTTTCCATGCGCTCTGTAAAGTATTTCCATATATAGTTCATGAAATGAAAAATTCTGAAGAATCAAGTTGTTCTTATTTTTAATAGATAATAAAGATAAATTCCAGTTAAACCCAAATCAAAGAATCACAGGTTCTCAACTACAGAAGCCTCTGAATTAACAAGTTTTACTGTAGTTTAAATTTATTTGTCAATACCTATTAAAAAGAAATCATTGTATAAAACAAGAAAATGACAGTTAATGGATTAAATTACAATTCTAAAGCTTGTGATCTTAGCGATACCGTCAGAGTACTTTAAAGGTTAGGCCTATCTAGTAAAGAAAGAAACCCCAACTAGTTGGTAAAAAAAATAATGGTGTTGAGATGGACATCTTTTAAATGCTTTCACACTTTTTGTTCTCTGATAGTCACTCTGATTTCTTTTTCACTAGAGGAAAATTTGTTGTTGTTAAGTGCCATCGAGTCGGTTCTGACCCATAACAACCCTGTATAGGGTTTCCAAGAAGTGATTGGTGAGCTTGAACTGCGTACCCTAAGGTTCCACAGCGCCACACCAGGACTGTATTTCATATTAGTGTAAACTAGTATTCCACAGATGAATGATCATAGCATTAATGTGAATTTTCATTCCTAATTGCCTGAAAAGCAGTATGGGAATCAGTCCGTTCTTCATTGCTCTTGAAGATGGATTGAAGTGGAAAGGCCTCTTAGGTTTTAGATATGTATTGGAAAGCTATCTGCTTTTAGTAGTGACCTAAAGTACTGATCATAAAATCAATAAGCCCTAAGTGATCTGGATCCTGTTTACCTCAGAGAATGCCTCTTTTGCTTAGGAACTCTCTTTATACTAGATAGCATTTTTTAAAAGTGCATGACGTTTAGCATAAAGAAGCAAGGAAACAAAGTAGACATGAATGTATGAGTAGGAAAACTATGAACTCTGAAATACTTCACTATAGGAGCATTCATTTTACTATGAATCACACATTGATTTACATACTTTTGTGTCTCATTAATGTTTTCTGCGCTTAAATTTAATTATCTGTCTGAGAAGTCTCCAGCTTTGTGACTCTGGGATATTACACCCAGGTGATAATCTTTATAGAGTCTCTGAGAAGACTAAAAGCCTATTGGTTTATGTGAAGTATCAAGCTCATAAAGTTGTATTGAAAATAACTTAATTCAAGCATAAATTATTTTCCCATTCTAGATTTTTCTTCCTTGTTTGCCAGCTGACACAATGGCACTCTGTTTCTGGAGGAAAGCTAAGTAGCTGATTTGGGGTCAACACCTTGGCTGTTTGGTGTATAATGGCACAGTGACAAATAATGTGTCACCTCTTCCCCAAGGCATGCTTCATGGGTAATGTTTCCCAGTTGGCACTCCCACACAATGATACTACCACACCAGAATGGGAGCAATAACTCTTAATGTCTCATATAGTCAAATATCTCAAAAAAGAACCTTTCAAAGGATGCATATAGTACTTAGATACAGCCAACGCCATACTGCTAGCCTTGTCAGATAATGACAAATGGAGAAGTTCTCTCCCTTTCATCTAGACAGTTTAACAGGCATTTTAACCTTGGGGAACCGCATACTAGCTCTCACTGCCCAGAGATGGGACACAGAGGTTCTCAAATTGCTCTGGGCTCGGAAAGGATGTACTTTAGATGGAACAACAAATCTGGATGACAAACTGGGTACACCACTCTTCTCACTGGCTGATACCCACAGAGCTCTTGGAAACACTTAACTAGAATCATTCACTACACTCTATTTCTCCTGTACTACATGCCCATTTTCATGCCAAAATTGAAAACTATGCTTTCAGGGTCTGGCTATACATACTTCCTCACCAGGCAATTATTGTTTTTTCAAAAACATTATATATGCTTGGCTGTTCTAGAGTTATCCTCCCTTTACTGAAATAGGGAAGAGGAACTGTGTGTATCCAGTAAAATGTAAGAGTGAGATGAATTTAGGACAATTCATAAAATGAATTCTCATAAGACACTGAACTTTTTTGCTCTCTTTATGAGCTCACTTTTACAAGTGAAAGACGATGATTCTTGTAATTTCTACTACAGTAACCTGATGCCTTTGAATTATGATGTTGGTAAATATGTAACGGACTGCCAGAAGAATGAACAAATCTTAGAAGTACAGCCAGAATGCTCCTTAGAAGCAAGGTTGGGGAGAATTTGCCTTGAGTACTTTGGACAAATTATCAAGTATTCAAGTTGTCTTGAGTACTTGGGCCATGTCCTTGAAGAAGACTATCATGCTTGGTAAAATATAAAGGGCCAGCAAAAAAGAGGAAGACCCTCAAATAATGGATTGACACAGTGGCTGCAACAATGGGCCCAATCATAGCAAGGACTGTGAGGATGGCGCAAGACCAGGCAGTGTTCCATTCTGCTGTTCATAGGATCACTATGGCTCAGAACTGACTCGATGGCACTTAACAACAATAATCAGTACTGCCACTACTTGGACCCTACAAAGATAAATCCATTATCTACTTCTAACATTCTGTATACCTATGAAACTTAGGACTCAAGTCATAGTGAGGAGACAAAATAGAGAAGGTTCTGGCTTCCTTCTGAATCCCTAATGTACCTTCAGACTCATTAGGCATCTTATGTTCTAACTGGAAGAATTCTAAGAAATAAAAGCCTATTTGATATTACAATTATTCAAAACTAGGCAACATGTGTAGCTGTTGTTGTGTACTCTCAAGTCAGTTCTGACAAGAAAGGCTGGTAGGCTTGCACTGCCGACCTTGTGGTTACAGTGCCACATCAGAATCTACCATGTATAGAGTCAAAGACAAAATGCCAACAGGACAGGAAATTCTGGGCGGTCTTAAAAACATAATTTGGCTTTCATTGCACACCTATAGTTTTCCTATTACTTCTCTTCGGCCATATATATATATGTATATATATATATAAATCTTCACGAAGCAGAAAGCCTCATCTTTCTACTGATATATACATATATATATATATTAAAGTCCTGGTGTGGCACTGAAGAATAAGCACTGGACTGCTAGCTGAAACATCAGTGGTTCAAACTCACTAGCCACTCCTTGGAAACCTTACACGGGGCCACTATGAGAAAGAATCAACTTGACGGCACTTAATAACAACATATATGTATGTTGTTGTGAAGTGCTGCTGAGTTGGTTCCGATTCATAGCGACCCTGTGTAGGGTTTCCAAGGAGCAGCTAGTGGGTTTGAAGTTCCAACCCTGTGGTTTGCAGTCCAGTGCTGAACCTACAGTGCCATACCAAGAGTTCCTGGTGTGGTGCTGTGGGATAAAGTACTGGACCACAAGGTCAGTGGTTCAAAGTCACCAGATGCTCCTTGAAAATTCTTTACCAGGTTGCTATGAGTTGGAACCAAGTTGCTACATGGCAGCATTTAACAGCAACAAATATTTATGTGTGTGTATATATACATACAAGGAGCTTTGGTAGCGTAGTGGTTACAAATCGGGCTGTTAACCTCAGTGTCAGCAGTTCGAAACTACCAGCGGTTCCATGGGAGAAAGATGAGGCTTTCTGCTCCCGTAAATATTTACAGCCTCCGAAACCCTGTACAGGGTCACTGTAAGTCAGAACCGACTCCACGGCACATAACAACAACATACATGCATACATACACACACATATATTTACACAGCTCTCTCTCTCTCATATATACTGTACATCTCGGAGAAAGATGAGGTTTTCTGCTGCTGCAAAGATTTATCAAAGCCTCAGGAACTCTACATAGAGTCGCAACTGACTCGATGGCACTTAACAACAGTAGTGTATATATATATTCATATTCCTTGGATTTCCCATAAGGAGTCTGTTTTTGATCAAGATAGTGTCAAAGAGGTAAAATAAAGAGAAGTGTCAGTGACATTTCAGGTCTAAAGGTGACTTCTAATTCAACTGAAGAAGAAATGACTCATGTTTGGCACCATTAGCAGTGACATACTAAATACGCATAATTACAGTTTTCAGGAAGATGATGTAGCCAAATACAGAAATCAGTTTTGTTAACTGAATATATGTTTAAGCTTTACACTCATTTTAACATCATCTAAAACTCATTTTCAATTAAAGGAAAACAAACACATAACATCATTACTTGTTATCAAACACTATGGTTTCCTATAAAACAGCTTTAAAAACAACAATGTTTATTTTTATGTTGACAGTGCCAAAAGAACAAACAGATTTGTGTAGAAAGAAGTGCAGCCAGAGTCCTCCTTGGAGACCAGAATGACCAAACTTCATCTTTCATACTTTGGACATATTGTCAGGAAGGACCAGTCACTGGAGAAGGACATCATGTTTGGTAAAGTGGAGGGTCAGAGAAAAGAGAAAGACCCCCAGCGAGATGGATTGGCCAAGTGGCAACATCA